ACCAAACATATAGAAGTGACATAGAATTCAGAGGTGTTTCCTGTGATCAGATTCCCCCAGATAAGTCTCTTGCTTGGCTTTGCTACTCCATGCTCAGATAATATGCATATCATTAGATAAGTACTGAGGCTTTAGTAGCAAGCTGTTTCTTATTATAATAATGTAATATACTTAAATGTAGTACAAAATGAGCTTGTGAAGGAAAAAAGAAGGAATCAGAGACCCTTGGGGTGACTAAAAATGAAAGTGCATAGAGGAATACAAGCTAAGTCAACCTTTTTTTCCAGAGGGATGTTAGGCAGAACACAAAGAGTCTTGAACATGCTAAGCATATACTCTATCATTGATCCGAACCCCTAAATCAGTCTCTTATAAAGCCTAAATACTCCATCTCTAATTTTCATGAGCTATTCTATATGAACAAATGTGAAAAGTGTATCTTTGAGAGATTTGAAACTAACTATGAGATGCAGGAGAAAAAAATCAGCTCTGTATGTATGTGAATTTGGCATATTAAAAAGCATTCTACAAGACATGAAAGTGAAAGAATAAGAGGAAGCAAAACCAACTCAGCAAGTCACTAGGTTGTTCTGAAGAAATAACTGAAGCCACAGTGGTAACAGATGTGAGCACTGTAAGAAAACAAGCCCTACACTCATTTCTTCTCCCAACCACATCCTGTACCAAAACCTTGTGAATGATGAAGCAACAAGACAAAACTGAATTAGTCAACAGACTCTGAATATATTATCAGTCACCAAAAAGCAAAATGGAACTATTGCATGGTCAGAAAAAAAACTCATCACATGTATAAATGTGTGTAGATAAATGAAAGCTATGGAGAACACCGTACTGGATCGGGTTAAATTAGAACATTAGAAGCAAATAATCATAGACTATAACCATACATCAGCAGAAATTGTGAAAGTGAAATAAACTGTTTGCGAATCATTAAACTGAATTGTAATTAGTTTATATTGATAGCCACTGACCATGATGATGGAAAAATATTAAGTTCAATTCACTACAAAGCAAGCCAAGACATTTGATATAACCTTTTAAAATAAAAAGAAAACATGCAAGAACCAAAAGAAAATGACTTTCCCAAAGCCCTTTTGAAAAAATGATGGTAATCAGATGAAAGGATAAATACAAAGCACGCATTGCTCTAAGTACCTATCGATTAATTATGCCCGCCTGAAGCCAAATTTTCATAACCACCTCAGCAAAAATCCCCTAAGACTTGTGCCAAAACAGCAAAAACAGAGAATTGAGAAGCAGAGAAATATATCTCACCTGAATATTTGTCGGGTCACATTTGTCTAAAATGGTAGTTGAGTCTTCAGCTATCAGGAGAGGCTCGCTTTTCCCACAGCTCTCCTGGCTGATCAGTGTATCTGCATAGTTGGGCTGCGGGAAGATCAGATGACTCTTCCCGGAGTTCGCAGTGAGCGACACTTCCTGGGAATAGGTCTGTAGAAAAGCACGCACCCCATCCACGCCCACAAAGTGCGAAGGCGGCGTAGCAGCCAATCCGCTGGCAGCCTGGAGCAGATGCGAGGAGTGCCAGCGCCGAAGTCTGACCACCATCAGTACCACGACGAAGATGAGGAAGACACAGGAGACTGCTGTGATGGCCACAACTAGGTAGAGCGTGAGCCCAGACTCATCTGGATTGGCGGGAGACTCCAGACTAATCAAGTCCGCCAGGACTTCTGGGATGCTGTCAGCCACCACCACCGTGAACGTGACGGTGGCTGAGAGAGGCGGTTGACCGTGATCCTGGACAGTCACCACGAGGCTCTGCTTGAGCGCATCCTTGTCCAGCACGGCACGGACAGTGCGCACCTCCCCAGTGTGCAGCCCCACCGAGAAGAGTCCGGGCTCGCTGGCTTTGAGCAGACGGTATGACAGCCAGGCGTTCTGTCCTGAGTCCCTGTCCACCGCCACTACCTTGGTTACTAAATAATCAGGTTCTGCAGAGCGGGGTGCCAGTTCCACACCAGTGGAGCCATCCGTGGGGAGGGCGGGGTACAGAATCTCCGGGGTGTTGTCGTTCTGGTCCAGTAGGAACAGCATCAGTGAAATATTGCTACTGAGTGGCGGATCTCCGTTGTCACGTGCTGTCACTCCTAGCTGTAGAGTCTGGAACTGCTCATAGTCGAAGGACTGCAGTGCATACAGTACACCCGTGTCTGAGTTGATAGATACGTAAGAGGATAGAGGAGCTCCCTGGATGGTGGCGTCTGTTAGAGAGTAAGAGACCTGGGCATTTTCTCTGCTATCCCTGTCCAGAGCGCTCACTGAGAAGATGGAAGATCCTCTGGGGTTATTTTCAGGAATGTAGGTAGAGTAAGAGGAACAAGTGAAAACCGGAGGGTTATCGTTGGCATCCTCCACTTTCAGGAAGAGGTGAATTTCTGTAGACAAGGGTGGACTTCCCTGATCTGTGGCTGTCAATGTGATATTGTAACTCTCAACTTGCTCTCGGTCTAGCTCCTGGCTTGTTATCAACTTATAATAATTTCCATAAGTCTTTTCTAACTTGAAAGGAAGATGGTTAGGAATGAAACTGGAGACCTGACCATTTTCTCCAGAATCTTGATCTTGAACATTTAAAAGGGCAACTACTGTACCTGAAGGAGAATTTTCCAGCACTGAATTAACCGAAGAGGTGATAGCTATTTCTGGAGCATTATCATTCACATCCATAACTGTAATCAACAGCTTAGTAGTGCTCAAAAGACCTCCACCATCTTGGCCTTGAATTTCCATCTCATAGAATTTAAATTTTTCAAAATCTAGAGACTTTCCTACTAGAACTTCTCCAGTTTGTGAATTCAACCAAAATATTTCAGAAGCTTTGCTTTCCACATTCCGAAATGAGTACATCACTTCCCCGTTGATCCCCTCATCCAGATCCGTGGCGTTTACCACAAGCACTCGAGTCCCAGAGCTGAGGTTTTCGGGAACAGTCACTCTATACACAGACTGTGTAAACTTTGGGATGTGGTCATTTACGTCGAGGACCACCACTCGAATTGGAACAGTGCCCTTGCGGATGGGATCTCCTCCATCTGAGGCTGTGAGGAGGAGGAGGTGAGCTGCCTCTTTCTCCCGGTCCAGGCCTCCATCCAGCACTAACTCCGGATTCTTGGCTCCATCAGTTCCACCTCTCACTTGCAAGGAAAAGTAACTACTAGGGCTGAGTTGGTAGCTTTGGAGGGAGTTCACCCCCACATCTGGATCCCTAGCGTTAGGAAGAGGAAACCGTGATCCAGGACTGGCATGCTCACTGACTTTTATCTCTACCTCCTCTTCCCGGAAGCTAGGTGCGTTGTCATTAATATCCGTGATTTCCACCTCTACTCCGTAAATCTTCAAGGTGTCCTCCTCAAGGATCTCCATATTTAAAAAGCAGGAGGACACTGTCTCACAGAGCTCCTCCCTGTCTATCCTACCCGCGGTGACCAAGCTGCCGCCTCGCGGATTCAGAGCGAAAAGCTGCGTCTTTCCTCTGGAAACAATGCGGACTCTGCGTTCCGCGAGCTCCCGGGACTCAAGCCCCAGGTCTTTGGAGATGTTACCAACCAAGAAGCCTTTGTCGGTCTCTTCTGGCACAGAATATCGAATCTGCCCGGTCCCAAACGTCCGCAAGGTCCTCAAGAAAATGCACAGCAGGACCAGCCCGCTGCGGTCCAGACGCCGGGGCGGATTCGCCATGGTAGAGTGTGAGCCGTTACCTCCTGGGGTCTTGGCCTGTTTAGTTTTTTCGGAATCAGCTTATTTTTCTCCGAGGTTCCAGGCTGTCCGCATCCAAAATATATTAGAAAGCGAATGAAATGCTTTTATTTCCAGAATTAGGATGTGTGAGTATCCATCTCTCCGCTTTGTGTAGTAGATGTTGGGGAGAGGAACTCAACAGCGCGCTTCCTCCCACTCCCTGATTGGTCAACAGCGGCGCCTAGAGCCCAATCTTATTATTGCAACTCTAAAACATTTCATACTCCCGGCTCGAGAGTATGGCTAATTATTAAATGGGCTTGCTTAATTTATAAAAGAGCTTCAAAACACCACTGGGGACAGGGGGGAAACACCACTAGAACAGAAAATGTGCAAATTAATTTTGATTCCAATTGAGTTTACTGACTGAAGAGACCTGGAGCTTGTGGATGTGAAAATCGCATGGTCTGGACAAAACTGTCAGGTAGGATGCATGACTATAATCCTTACCAACGTTTAACAAGCACAATAAAGATGAAATGTTTCATAAATATTGAATAGCATTAGGGTTCTCATTTAAAATACAAAAATAAAATATAACTGTATTTCATATTCTTAACTAAAGGGAATTTTAATGAAAATTTCACCTGAGAGTTCATGTACTTCAGAGAGGAGAGAGAGAGAGAGAGAGAGAGAGAGAGAGAGAGAGAGAGAAATGAGAACATGAAGGAACACAGGACCTAGAGCATGCTAAGTACTGTACTGCAGTCTACCACTGAGAGATACTCTCAGCCCTCAAAAATTTTACCTTAGGCTGGTTATGGTGGTGTACACCTTCAATACCAGCACTGGGGAGGCAGAGGCAGTTGGATCTCTGTGAATTTAAGGCCAACTTGGTCTACATAGTGAGTTCCAGGGTAAAACTAGGGCTTCACAGTGAGACACTGTTTCAAATATCTATCTATATCTATATCTATATCTATATATCGGCTTTGAGTAGTAAGAAGGTCTAAACACTGCAAGCCTTTTGTTGTGTGGTGCTGGGATAGAATTCAGGGCCTGTTGCATATAAGGCAAGTGCTTAAGTGCTTTACCACGGAGCCACACCCTATACCTCCAAAACTTCTTTTTTTTCTTTTTTTGGTCTTTTTGAGACAGGGTCTCCCTGTAGCCCCAGCTGTCCTGGAACTCACTATGTAGACCAGGCTGGCCTTGAACCAAAACTTTTGTTTTAAGAGTGATACCCATAGGTTTGACTTAGCTTTGTCTTATGAACTTTACAAAAAGATTGTCTAAAATCTTGAAATAATAGTACTATACTGGAATACACTGGCATACTGGAATATAAAATGCATAATATTAAATACCTGATTAAATGTCTTCTTGTCTGCTTCAACACTAGGAGTTAAAATGCTAGCCAATAGTGCTGAAGAGCTATCTTTGTTGAGAATATCTTGTGTGGCTAAACAATCACCAACAGATGTGAGAAAATTCAATTCTGGATTAGCTTGATCTCCTGCAATGCACAAATTATAGGCATAGGGTAACGTGCCCTCGCTGGAGTTAAGAGGAACTGCAGGTTGAGACTTGGAGGTAAGAGCAGGCTGAAAGCAGCTCCAGGCACCTGGGCTGGAGGAGCGTCGCAGGTGCAGGGCAACAGCCAAAATCACCTCAAGGAGGAAGAGGACAGATATCAGGGCCAAGGCCACCACCAGGTAGAACTGCAGCTCGGCCTGGGGGTCAGAGGGCAAAGGGTCATCGCTGAGGGCTGGGAGGACCTCCTGCAGGCTGTCAGCGAAGATCAGGTGCAGCGTGGCGGTGGCCGAGAGGGGCGGCTGTCCACCATCGCGCACAGCTACCAGAAGGCGCTGGCGGGCCGCGTCCTTGTCGCCCAGGGCGCGCGCTGTGCGCACTTCGCCCGTGCGCAGCCCCAGGCTGAAGAGCCCGGGGTCGCTGGCCTGCAGCACGTGGTACGACAGCCAGGCGTTGTGTCCCGAGTCGGCGTCCACCGCCACCACCTTGGTGACCAGGTATCCAGGCTCGGCGGCGCGCGGCACCATGTCGAAGAGCGCGGAGCCGTCGGGCTCGAGCGCCGGGTAGAGCACGCGCGGCGCGTTGTCGTTGAGGTCGCCCACCAGCACGTGTATGCTCACGTTGGCGCTGAGCGCTGGCGAGCCCTGGTCGCGCGCCTGCAGTGTCAGCTGGAAGGAGCGCAGCTGCTCGTGGTCGAAGGCGCGCTGCGCGAACACCACTCCGCTGTCCTGGTTCACAGACACGTAGGACGACAGCGCCCTTGGCTCCAGGTCGCTGGCAATGATGGGGTAGGAGACCCGGCCGTTGGGTCCCATATCTGGATCCCACGCTGTGACCTGGGTGATCTAGGTACCAGGCTGGTTGTATTCTGGTACCTGCACCAGGTAGGCGGGCTCTTGGAAAATGGGTGCGTTATCGTTGATGTCAGTGATGTGCAGAGTGATGGTGGTGCTGGAAGAGAGGGGTGGCTTGCCTCCGTCGGCGGCTGTGATAGTGACATTGTACTCTGGGGTCTGTTCACGATCCAGGGTCCTGTCTGTTACTAACTTGTAGTAATTATTGGAAGAAGAATGAATCTTAAATGGACTATCTCCACTCAAACTACACGAGACTTCTGCGTTTTCCCCAGAATCTCGGTCTCGAATTTTGAAGAGGGCCACAACCATTCCAGAAAGGGAATCCTCCAAAATCTGATCAGATAGAGAAGTTATGATTATTTCTGGGTTGTTGTCGTTTTCATCTAGAACTTCTATTATTACTTTACACTGTGAGGAAAGAGATCCTCGGTCCTTCACTTCTACATCTATCGAATATCTTTCTGCTTGTTCAAAATCCAAGGGCTGAGAAGTTACAATCTTCCCCGTTATGGAATCCAGAGAGAACACGTGCAGGGCTTCATTAGCTACACCTAGGAAGGAGTAGGTGAATTCTGCATTGATGCCCTGGTCCTCATCTGTGGCCTTTACCCGTAGGATCGAGGTACCCGGAGGCACATCTTCCTGAAGGTGGACTCTGTATACCTCCTGGCTGAACACCGGGGGATTATCATTAGCATCCACCACTCGGATTCGGATCTGAGTGGTACCGCTTAGGGGCGGGTCCCCACCGTCTAATGCTGTCAGCACCAGGTGATGAATGCTCTGTGTTTCTCGGTCCAGGTCGTTTTGCAATACTAATTCTGGATATTTGCTACCATCAGGATTGTCTTTCACTACCAAAGAATAATAGTCGTTAGGACTTAGTTGGTATTTGCTCAGTGAATTCACACCAATATCAGGATCTTTTGCAGATTCAAGAACTGTTCTCATCCCCGGGCTGACAGACTCACTTATGTCTAAGTTTATTTCATTTTTTGGGAACTCGGGAGCATGATCATTGATATCCTCCATCATCACAATAACATGGAAAATGTTTAAAGGATTTTCCACCGGACGACAGCGCCCTTGGCTCCAGGTCGCTGGCAATGATGGGGTAGGAGACCCGGCCGTTGGGTCCCATATCTGGATCCCACGCTGTGACCTGGGTGATCTAGGTACCAGGCTGGTTGTATTCTGGTACCTGCACCAGGTAGGCGGGCTCTTGGAAAATGGGTGCGTTATCGTTGATGTCAGTGATGTGCAGAGTGATGGTGGTGCTGGAAGAGAGGGGTGGCTTGCCTCCGTCGGCGGCTGTGATAGTGACATTGTACTCTGGGGTCTGTTCACGATCCAGGGTCCTGTCTGTTACTAACTTGTAGTAATTATTGGAAGAAGAATGAATCTTAAATGGACTATCTCCACTCAAACTACACGAGACTTCTGCGTTTTCCCCAGAATCTCGGTCTCGAATTTTGAAGAGGGCCACAACCATTCCAGAAAGGGAATCCTCCAAAATCTGATCAGATAGAGAAGTTATGATTATTTCTGGGTTGTTGTCGTTTTCATCTAGAACTTCTATTATTACTTTACACTGTGAGGAAAGAGATCCTCGGTCCTTCACTTCTACATCTATCGAATATCTTTCTGCTTGTTCAAAATCCAAGGGCTGAGAAGTTACAATCTTCCCCGTTATGGAATCCAGAGAGAACACGTGCAGGGCTTCATTAGCTACACCTAGGAAGGAGTAGGTGAATTCTGCATTGATGCCCTGGTCCTCATCTGTGGCCTTTACCCGTAGGATCGAGGTACCCGGAGGCACATCTTCCTGAAGGTGGACTCTGTATACCTCCTGGCTGAACACCGGGGGATTATCATTAGCATCCACCACTCGGATTCGGATCTGAGTGGTACCGCTTAGGGGCGGGTCCCCACCGTCTAATGCTGTCAGCACCAGGTGATGAATGCTCTGTGTTTCTCGGTCCAGGTCGTTTTGCAATACTAATTCTGGATATTTGCTACCATCAGGATTGTCTTTCACTACCAAAGAATAATAGTCGTTAGGACTTAGTTGGTATTTGCTCAGTGAATTCACACCAATATCAGGATCTTTTGCAGATTCAAGAACTGTTCTCATCCCCGGGCTGACAGACTCACTTATGTCTAAGTTTATTTCATTTTTTGGGAACTCGGGAGCATGATCATTGATATCCTCCATCATCACAATAACATGGAAAATGTTTAAAGGATTTTCCACCACAGCTTCCAACTGCAGCTCACACCTCTTTCTCTCTTTGCACACCTGCTCCCGGTTTATCCTGTCCTTCACCAGCAAGTTCCCGCTCTCCGCGTCTACGCTGAAGTGCAGCTTCTCCCCGCTAACTCGCAGCTTGCGAGCCGACACATCCAGGATACTGAGCCCTAGATCCTTGGCGAGGTTCCCCACCACCGAACCCCTGTCCAATTCTTCGTGAATGGAGTAGCGGATCAGCTCGCAGAGCGGGGGGCAGAATAATGGCAGCAGGAAGGGAAACAGTACCTGCCGGCGGCCGGGGCGGTGCCTCTGCGCGCAGCTCCCTCCCATAGCTGGCTCCGGCTCTCTCTAGGCCTCCGCACCTTCACACTTAGACAAAGTGCAGTCTACTGCGGTGGAAGTGCATTCGATCCTGGGCAGGCGGACCCCAGTTTTGGGGCCGGGAATCCGTGTCTCGGTCTCAGAGAGTTAAGAGTTTCCTTTGGTGTGTATTGGTTTCTGCGCATGAAATTCCAGGCTACAGGGATCCAGAGTATAGGCGCTGGCTCTGCACTGGCCGACAGCGGCGCCCAGAGGCTCTGTGTGGAATTGCAGACTGACGTTTCTAACTTTGGGGAATTTTTATTTTTTAAAAAGCGCAAGGTGATAGATAGCCAAAATATTTGAATTTTATTCCCCATTGATTCCTTTTTAGCCATAGAATTTTTAAATTATAACTGTTATTTATTTTATATACCCCAAGCTGTTTTCATTTTGAATAGATAACATTGTTTCCTTCAAATCTATAAGGCATAAAAGAACACAAAATGAAGGTCCACAGGCCTGCTCCACCATGGCCCACTGCTATTTAAATTCTCTATTCTTAGGAAATAATTATCACTACTTTAAAGAATAATTATCTATGAAATTGAGGTACTGAAGATGAGTGAAAACTTCTGTCCTCAGTTCTAGCCCTACTCAGATAGAAAGTCAAAACCCTCCATCCATGTTCAGGCACCAGAATGCAACTGTTGCTGTATTCAGTCATGTAGAAGTTCTGTACTGCTTTCAGAATAATTTATGTTTTAAATATTTGATTATAATATTTGGGGTGTCAAAAGAGTGCTTTTGAAGATTGTATTTTCCCAAATAATAAAATTGAAAGATATGCATACTAATTATTACTGTCATGGACAAAAATGTAGAACAATAATTTCAATGATTTAATAGCAGCTATAACCTGAAGGAGTGTACTTACCTTTCACAGATCTACAGTTAACCAAATGTTGACTGACACAAAAAGTCATCTCTCAGGTGTATTTTGAGACATTATAGAACACTCTTTCACCTTAGGCTACAAGTTTGGTAGAGTAATGAGTCAAAAGATCTAACCAAATATATCACTGTCTTTCTTGAATTAAATGTGCTCCTCCGTACCTCCCCTAATCATTTGTTTAGAAGAATTTTATTATCTTTTTCTTTTTGGTTTACATTCTGATATACAGAATTGTTTCTTTCCTCAATCTTAGTTTGAGTCTCAATTCCAGCATATCCAGAGTTTTGGGTGGATTTTCTTCCTTCTACATTAAATAGGGAATGCCCTTGCCACACGTGTTGCTTCTGTTCTTGGGAGCATGTACACATTTATCTGTTTCCCCAATCCATATTTTTTAGTTTTTTTCATTACCTTTAGTTATCAGCAGGCTTAATTTTTTAAAAAGGCAATGAGAATCTCAAATATCTTCAATTTAACCTTCAATTTAACTTTTAGATTCTCCATTGAAGAAGGAAAGTCAAATTAAAATGCTGTGCCTTCCACAAAGTATGAAACTAGGTAATCATATGCAAAAAGAATGTGACCGAGCTAATGGGTATGATTATGGCTGTAAAAAACCTAAGCACATACTTGTGGATTGTTAATTGAGTGTTAATTAAAAACAAGTCTGTAAGGAGTATGTATGTTCAGTTGCAATTGCCACTACAGTGTGGGAAGCGAGCACAGCCGAGCCAGCCAAAGATGGAGCCCTGGCTGG